TTCAGAACTCTCTCTTAGCGTTTAGTTTCTTTAACTTTTAAGATTATTTTATTCTACTCTCATACTCTTAAGTTCGCAGCCCCATTTGGTCTCCTGGTATAAAGTCAATGCTCTAAGTTGCTAGTCTCTATATACCATATATATGAACTTATGTACTTGCATAGTTTTATAGCATATAGTTGTGGCGCGGCGTTTTTATTCCATTTTCAACGCCGCCATGAATACGACAATTAACTAAATGATTTATGACACGAAAAATGCAATGTTGATTTCCTGTTGCGACAGTTGAATTATTGATTTTGCTGGCGGAGATTGTTTTAAAACCCTTTCTGAAAATATTCGTAGCCAGATAAAAGCATGTTCATATATACGTGTATACATTTATTTGAATATCGATAGCAGAAAGGTATGTCTAACCTACCAGTACATATGAACATATCAATAAATTCCCAAAAAAACAATAATGTCGTTTTGTAAAATTTACAATAACCTCTGATTGCGTAATTGTAATCATAGAGTAGAAGTACTTTCGATATTATGATACTATTCTCATTTCAATCGGTATATTATTTCATTTCAGTGGGAAATGTTTCATAATTATTGCATAGCTCAGCGATTCGATTAGCTGTATTGTTTTTCTGTACTCCGATTAAAATCGAATCGAATATTACCGTAAAAATATTGCACAGATTTCGGACAGTAGAAGAAGCTGTTACTTATGGTATAAGGTATATGGTCACCAACTCATTAAATCACTTTTTTCAAGAGGAAACTTAATCTACATAAGATTAGATTAGTTTGTAGGATTGATACTCGAGCAAAAGCTGACGTTGGATCTCATTTGGACAGCTGTTAACATTAGTATTTTGTGATACCCAAAATCTCTTAAAAATTGATCACAAAAACTAGAGGTGCTCCATCAACTTCCGACAGAAGACTTCACCTTCAACCCTTCTTCTTAGCTTCGGTCTATCCATGAAAACGGCAACAAAATCCTCGCAGGTGTGTGAGCAGAGAAGGAACCGTCCATAGATGGTTCCGCGATGCAGTGAACCCGATTGTCAGCAATGATATTGAAATAGTAAGGGGACGAGACAAAAAAACCCACTGTGTTGAAAATGCTCAACTAACTTAAGCCACTAAACTTGCCAGAAACTCCAAGCACTTTGAATGCATTTCAGTTATTTTCAACAATGTGAGATAACAAATTTAAGAATCTTCCAATTAATTCATTTACACCAAACATGTAGCGCTCACTTACTGAGAACAATTTCGTTGAAGAAATGCGAAAAAGAATTGCATAAAACGGGTGAATTAAATTTATATGCGACCAAAGCGTTTTACTGCATTAATATTGATTAAATTTATTGGAAAAAATTATTTGCGAACACACACGAGAATTTGGCTGAAACGAGGTGGCAACACACCAGTCGAAAAAACAACACGCTCAAGTGAGAGAGCAACAACTCTTCAAAGGTGTAAGTTGGCACTCGAACAATTGCACAACACGGTTCCATCACTGTTGCTAGGTAAGTTTTACATTGAAAAAATAAAAACAGATTCGGTTGACATTTTCATGTAATATTTCCAATTTACACGTAAAAATAATTAACGCAATGCTGGTGCATGGCTGGCTGTAATGCCAACGCTTTAATTAAAAGCTGGGAAAAAATCCGCTTGAAAGTTGCGCATAAAGAATGTCAGAGAACATATTGCAAACCCAATAGGAAATTGGTAATAATAAAATATAATATTAGTGTGAAACAAAATTTCTTGTTTGTTGAAAAGCACAAATCAATAAAGTGAGAAATACCAAACTCTTGTATTCTTCGCCTGGTTGAGCGTTGGTGAAGCAATTTTATTTAAACCATATCAAATGTATATAAATGTACCACGTTAAATATTTTGTTGGGATTTCAAAGCCATGGATATTAAGCTAGTTCAGTAATTTTGACTTATGTAATAGTGCTAATCGATGCTTATGTTTCAGTAATGTCTGTTTGGTAAACTTGAATCTCTACATTTAATTTAGTTAAAAATTTTTTGTGACAAAGAACTGATATCATACATACGAGCAGTTCAAAAAACACAGTCTCTTGGAAAACATTGCAAAAATTAGTCATGCTATAACAGCTAGAAAGCATTCTCAATGGCTTAAAAAGTTGAAACAGGCAGATGACAATTTGGTTTGAAAATTAAAAAAAAAATCAATTCCCGTGTAAATTGTACACCCTTTGACTGCATAAGTATGTATGTACACATATATAATGGATAAAGCGAAAATGCAGATAAATTGTACAAAGCTGGAATATATGCGTCAGCTGACCAATTAATATTTTCATATATTTCCCAGCTTTGTGTTGTATATACTTCTGTATATAAATACTTTTCAAATTGTGTGCTAAAAACGTTCGAACTTTTTTTTAAAGAAAACATATTTATGAAATCAAATTTCTGAGATAATCGTATCGCTTGGTTAATGCAAGTCTTATATGCAATAAATTGAAAAGATGGAACTTTAATAAAGTATTGAGCGTATAACAGCTGCCAGCTTCATGCGATATTGAAAAGATAAAGGGTAATGAAAACTTGTGTCAACAGTTCCATGTACTTCGCCATATATGTACATATACGAGTCCAAACTTTTCTACCTCAACAACTAATGCAGAGATGCACCACCAGGATGTCGTAAACGCCTCAAAACCAGCAATCCTTTAATCTAGCCAATACTCTCGGAGTAATTTTTTAAACATTTTATAGTTACATATGTCATATTCAAATTGCTTGTTAAACTTTCTTTTGTACATATCTCAAAATATTACTTTATCTTTTATTCGGATACTCCATAATCCAGTTTGCTGAGTGCCGAGCGCCATTATTTGCTTCGAAACATTGGAAAGTACAATCGCCTGTATAAAATCACTCAAATTCGCTAACTTGTCTGAGGCACTTTCTTGATAAACACTTTTAAGAACTGCAAAAAACTAAAAAAGTTTTACAACAACAATAGTAAATGTTTATAATTCTGGGAAGCAAGTGTTAACTTTGTACAGTATATATAGATATAAATATAAATAAATACAGCGCGAGGTAATAACCGCAAAACTCGCAGCCAAGGTCAAGATAAACGAGCAACTATTGTTTCTTAGGTCAACCGCGTTTGTGGAATATAGTACAAAAAAAGCACAGCGATCAAAAGCCTCAGGTAGATGACCGGCGCTATGAGAGTTTATTTGGTATACTAAAATATGTGATGGACGATAGATTATAACCTTTCTCAATCAATCTTATCTCAAATTAAATATGGGTCATTACAAAGTTTACCTACTTTTATATTCAAAAGCATGCTTAAGAAAGTTATCTCATAACAGTTAATTTTTGTTTTAAGGTCGGACCAAGGTTGGATTTCAATTTTTCAAACATCATCAACTGATATTGTTTTAAATTGTTTATTAATTCCACTGATTTATTTCGTAATTAGAAAAAATCTAGTGATAAATACCACACTAAAAAGTTTCTGCTACACTCCATATATTTGAGAGAGTATCGTCATATCTTTCGAATCGTGGGTCTTCTTTCGAGGGATCGAGGGTTTTCTTAGCTTCAATGACTTTACTCTCGATGTGACTGTGAAATTTTATCAAACTTAAATATGTACTTAGCATTAGGTATTTAATAACTAGGAAGACGATGAACTGGAATTTTGTACTTAAATAAATATATCCCAAAACGGCTATCAATGTTCTTGACATCAGCTTTTCAAGTACATTTAAGCTATGTTCTTTTCCTAATGAACTAATACTAATGAATTGCTGCAAATGACATTATTTCTTAATTATCTGGCTAATGTATTTGCACACATACACACAGCCGAACATACATACCAAAAAGCACTCGTATTCCAACTGTTATTTACATAGCTGTTTTTTAAGTACATATGTACGTACTATACGTACCTATGTATACGATATGTACACTCAATACACTATTTTTCGTGCCCGTTTGCGTTTTTAAATGAAGTACCAAAATATTATAAATTATAATAACGGAAAGAGTAGACCACTAAAAATAAAAAATATTATATAATATTTTTATACCCTCAATAGGGTATATTAAATTTGCCAGGAAATTTATAACACCTAGAAACAATATTATACATAAATGGACAGCATAATGAGCTTAGTCGATTTAGCGTCTGTCTGTCTGTTTGTATGTTATACACCCAAACTAGTCTCTCAGTTGTTGAGATATCGATCTGAAATTTTGCAAACGTCATTTTCTCCCCAAAAATCTGCTCATTTGTCGAAATCGCCGATATCGAAAAACTATAGCATATAGCTGCAATACAAACTGAACGAACAAATAGCGAGATATTTTCACGAAATTCGGAACGAATTATTGTCTAAATCAGCGGTACAATCTCTGGAGAAATTGTTTAGATCAGACTATTTTGGCATGTAGTTGCCATACAAACACACCGATAAAAATCACGACAAAAATATTTTTATACCATTTTATGTTATGAAAAATGCACATGTGAAGTATTAACGTTTTTTCTTGTCTCATAGTGACAATACCCCAGAAAACAATGATCGAGCGAACTTCCGCCTTGAAGAAGATTCTCTGAAAAGCCATTATGCGGAGTTAACAATAGTAGGGTTATACATTTGCCATATATAGGTATTTAGATGTATGTCTATATATCTGATATAGATCAAAATACACGTTACGAATATAAAGCCCTATATAGACGCTCCAACCTGTATAGAGAAATGATCATGTGGTCTATTTCCACAAATAACCTGCACAACTGTTCATAATACCAAAATCTAGCAGAATAAGCTTTAGATCGAAAACATATGGGTTGTCATTAGTTTCAGTATATACCTTGAAATTCTCGTTCGAATCGAAGCCTCGAATCACCGCATCAGCTTCTCATATACTATATATTCCAACAGTAATATATATAACAGGAAACTCTGTCAAGAAGTATTGTTAGTTTCGCAAAGTATTGTCAAACCGCAGAGTTGTTAAAACATTCGTTCCAAAAATGAAAATTATCGCGCTATTATTCCTATTGTCTTGTGTCTTCTGGACAGCTACAAGTAATGATGTGCAAAAAACTGAACAGAAAAATCGCTTTGGTCTTGTAAACCAACGAATTAGATCCTTGCGCGACAGTCTTGGTGGTATGTGGGCTACAGACACAACGACACCGAAACCCGTGGCAGCGGTAGCCAATGAAGATGATGAAGATCAATGGGATATCGGCACATTCTTGGGGCAGTTAGGCACAAAAGTGGGTTTGGTCGTTAAAAACGCAGTGAAAGATCTATTAGAAGTAGGTACTGGCATAAAGTGTCAATTTTAGTCTGTAACATTTTTTATTTGCACTGCAGTGTGTTGATAATGTATTCAACTTAAGCCCTGGTGAAAAGAAAAAAGAAACGAATAATAAAGGCGGTGCTGGCGCAGCAAGTGCAAATTCGACTTTGAAACCAACCGAATCCACGACTGTTGGTAGTACCACAGTAAACCCAACCGAATCCACGACTGCTGGTGGCACGGGTAACGCTACAACTTCGAATGTTGCCTAGGACTCGCTACCGTTTGCGGCGTTGTAGCTAGTTGATCCGGAACTTGTGATTGGCGAGCAAGTAGATATTCCAAAATTAACAGTGGTCTAACCTCGAAATCATAAACTAGTAAATATGTTTAAAAAATGGCATATAAACTATTCCTGTACTATATTGAATATATATTTTCTAGTTTCAAAATTGAAATTTCATTTGGTTTTGTTTTTCGTTAGCCTCACAGTTAACCTTGATTTGGTTTATTCGACAGCGTTTGGTGTCGCAAGTGGTAAGTGACGTACCAAAATTAACGGTAAATACTACTATTTTGGAATGCATATTTATGTTGACACAGTTGGTTCTAAATATATACATATTCTATAATTATAAACCAACATTTGTACTACTAAAGATTGTGTGTTCGATATATAATATTTATTTTGTAACGTTTGTGGATGTTTTGAGTTTTCGAGCTTTCAAGCATTATTGGTTCTCGCTAGTTCTCTAGTAGTTAATGGTACGCTGTGTGGTTGCGATTGGAAGTCAAGGTGAATAACTCGTTTGGTTTTATAGCGTGATATTGTGCAGTGCGTTGTTTATAAGATTTAATAATATAATGTATAAGCTTCGTCTCAAAACATGTTAAGGATACATTTTTTGCAGTGGTCGGAAACATGTTTTTAAGCTAGAAAAAAGCCTGGTGTATTAAAAAATACAGTGTATAAATTTCAATAGTACAGAAAAAAAGTAAAGCTAACTGTGTAATGCCTTTTGCTTTCAAGGTGAATCTTATCAGCGATTTTGCTTTTACGATCTCAATCGATTAATGGTGCATTGCTTTCAGTTTTTGGCATTTTTGGTATATATCTATACAAAGTTCTCGGAGCGTAAAATATTATTCATTGTTCTACCCTATTTTTAGAGCCAAAGTCCTATTATTCAAAGTGAGTTATATAATTCTAAACATCACCATTCACCGGTAAAATGAATGGGTTTTCTATCATCAGGAAGAATTTTAATCAGTACTAGGCTGTCGTGCAAATGGAGAAGTAGTACTCTGATATGCTCATACAGAACTGATTAACGAGTCTGTATTACTTAATATTTCCGCACTACAAGTATATCTTAGAGTTTTGAAGGAAATGCCAAACTCGATTTAATTATAGGTCTTAAAGTTTCTACTGAAATGGAAAACTTTTAAGTTATACTATGTGTGCCAAATCAAGGGTTGGAGGGCTGAGCCTAATGCTAGATCGTTTATTTGTTAAACATTAAACCTTTTCAAGTTATTTATATATTAACAACATATTTAAAAACAAGTTTTGACACTAACTGACAAAAAAGAAAAAAGCAAACTAAAATTTGTTTCAATTTATTAATAAATATACCAGTACAAGCAACCCAACACATAAGACTTTTGGTACGATACTAGCATTGAGACGCTTCATACTCAAAACCTTAACCAAAATGTGTTGAGTTGATCTATGAGAGATGTTGGGATTATCTGCTAACTCTGTGATGCCTGCACGATGATTTTCATCCTAAACATATTTTCAATGTTATCCTCATAAACAGAGGTGGATGGACCACTCGCATTCCAAGTTATCGCTAGCATCATTGAATGCTTCAAGTCATTCGAATACATGTGTTCGTGATAAAACAGTTTTCTTACTTTTGTTATCTTCTCAATGATTTTGTAGTCCTGATTCTGTTGGAAACACAAAACTTCAAGCGAACTCGTTGTTCAATTTTTCTTTTCATGGTGAAAATCGCCAAATAAACTGTTTGCATCGTGACTAAACAGCTGCCATTTATCTACTAATTGACCTAAGACGATAAAACTTCACGTGAACAAAAAAACAAAAAAGATTGTACTAATTTAGGAAAAATTAGTTTTTTGATTCGGTTTGGGCACAGATTATAGGTTACTCGTGGTAAAATTTTATCAGATGGTATGTTTAAAAAAACAAAACTTGGTATGTACTTATTTGTGAAAAATTAAACCGAGTTTTAAGTTGACTCCGACACTGCCTGTTACCCTTTGAGTATCATATAACAGTATCCATTAATTTGGAATTTTCCGAGGTAATGACATCTGAAAAAGTGTCTAGTATGTTTTAGTTGTGTTATTTTTTTCGGTGTAGGGCAAAGATTATGCTGGCAAGAAAATTTTGCAAAGAGCAATGCGATTAGTGTATCGCTTAAACGGTAAAGTGAACTTTAGCAAAGTTCGACCATTGACCGATTGACTGTTTAACTAGCTTCGTTGTGTTTTGCATTTATCCGACATAGAAAACAAAATGTTTCACCCACTAAGCAATAAAGAATGCTTCATAAAAGTTTTCCTTGTCATATCCACAGTGACGGTTGTGTTGGCGGAGCCAATGGAGGTAAGTACAAGAGCAGCTCAGTCGCTAAAATATTACATAAGATCGTTTGTTAAATTATATATGTATATCATACTACATTAATTTATATATACCACAAAATACAGATCGTCTCGCAGAATGAACAATCACAACCGTTTATATTTATTGAGAGAATGAAAGCGGCGCCAGGGCGGGCACTCGAAGCTCAAGTCAATCCTAATTTTTCGCGATTATATGTAATGTGGCCAAAACTTCTGATACGTGTAACGTCCGAGTGGCAACAGTCTGTATTGGCGAAGAGTTTTGGCATAGCGAAGGTGCCAAACGAGCAGGAAATGGCGCATTACAATTATGAACGCCACAATTTAAGAAATATGGCTGCAGAAGGTGAGCTAAGTAAAATAATCAAATTGCTAGTTAAAATAATGCTTATGTCTATTCACTAATGACAGTTGCAATGGAGAATCGCATCATTAACGTCGTTGTCACACTGATGCAAATACTATTGGCCTTGGATATTGCCATACTTGTGGTCTTCATCATAATGCTGCTCAGCTACTTTTGCAAAACTAAGAAACCCAAGCAAGAGGTGGATGTGGTGAAGGCGTAGGCGAATTCTTTGTAAAATTAATAAAATATTTTCTTTCTGAAAATTAATAATATTTCTAAAAAAAATCAAAAAGCAAATAAAAAAAAAACACAAATAATATACTTAATAAGAACAAATATATCTACTATAAAGAGTCCTACCTCTATGTAGAGGCTTTGTATGGCGGCTATAAGCTATAGTGTATAATTTGTACGAAGCTTGTAGCTTTGATTTGGGCGAATTTTATGAAGATAGCTTGTCAAATAAATAAATTTTTCATACACGAACTTAATTTTGTGCAATCAGTTTGTATGGCATCTATATACTATAGTGATCCGATATCGGCAATGCCGACTAATAAGCAGCTTCTTGAAGTGGAAAAGACGCGTGCAAAATTTCAAATCAATATCTCAAAAACTGAGTGCTTAGTTCTCGTATATACAGATAGAAATATGGACCAACAGAAGGACATGGTTAAATCGACTCACGGTGGTCACGCTTAATATAACCTATACATTGTGTATATATATATATTTGTTACTTTTAAAATATATACAATTTATTCTCTCATATTTTCGATATTGGAACTCGTAATCTGTATAATTTATGCATTTGTTTTCGAAGTGGTTACATTCACTAGTTTAATTAACATTTTTGCACACGAATTTAATTCCAATCGTCGTTCCGTGTGTGAATGCAAAACAACAAACTAATCATATCAATATGACTTCACCAACTTTTCCAACTAAATCAACGATGATACGAAAAAAGGGATAAAAAATAAAAACTTAAATCAATTTACATATTCAACGTTTTGTCGATAATTAACTCGGCGCGTGTTTATAAATGTACCGTCGACTGTGTTCGAAAATGTGCAGTTAACTTTCGATGTCGGTGCATTTTCATTAAAGTGTCAACACTCGTGTGTCGTTGTTTATCGCAAACCTAAAATTGTCATTTTCATTATATCTATGAAGCACACATTCCTCATCCTCATCCTCACACACACACACAAACACCAGACCACGAACTAGTGGTTCAGACTCAGGTTTGAGCAAATATAGACGTCAAAATAAATATCATACATACATACACACATGGTTCATGCAACTAGTTGTTGGTGTTGGTAGGAATATGTGCACGTAAATGGTGCTCTATGCACCAACTTCAATTGGTAAAGTGCAGCTTTTGAATTTGTGACATTAATGCAGCAATTTCGATGGCTAACCGATGTGACAGGTGGGATAACTAGTCGGTTGGCTGGGTTGTTGGGTGGTTGGAATGAAAATGGCGCGTGAATGTCAGATATTTAATAGACATATATATATATGGAGTATAATATTAATTTGTGAATATATTTGAATTAAAACTTATTAAATAGTGCTGAGGGGTGAGATTCGCAGAGCTAACTTGCAGTTTTATTTTTTTTGCTTGGCTTAGTATTTAATTGGAATCGCTTTCAGCACTGGTTAGTCAAAATATTAATATCCATCATTTTTTTATAAAAAACGAGAGAAGAAGTGTTTTATGTCCAAAGCGGTGATTTACAGTTATCACCCAGACGAAACATCATGGATTTACTATGTGAACTCCGCCGAAATTGCTAACGGAGGGATACTACTAATACCAGAAACTTTTTTTGTCATTACATTACATTACAAAGTCATATCTTTTATCATGGATTCAAGTTTAATTTTTGCTTCTTTGTACACAAGTCTGATATAAACTAATTCTAGCTTATTTTTCTCGCGGCGTCTTACAAAAGGTTCCCTAAAGCTAAGTATTGCAAACAAAAATTGTGAATAACGCCAGTGGAACTTCATTTTTTATTATATGACAAATCTAAAATATTTTATTAAAAAACAAAAAATACAGCAATATTAGGATTAAAAAGTGATTCCGGCCGTTTTTGTGGATGAAACCTAATGAAAAAAAATTATCTCCTCAAAGATATTTTTCATACTGTGACCTACGGTCGAAAATTTATCATATGACGGCGTTTTCTTTAGTTTAAATTTAGATTATGGTCGTTTTTGTTCAGACCAAAAAACTGGTAAGTTGTATGAACTATATAAATAACATGCAAAAATTGGATACTTAAGCCAATTTGAAAAATTTTATTTTGGGTTTATTAAATTTCAGTATGTTTAAAAAATGTTGTATGAAAAAAAGCCAAACTAGGTGAGCCTCTAAAATACAGTTTCAATGTTGGTTGAAATCGCTAATATCAAATCTCCAAGTGGTCATCGATTGGATGATGTGGTCAATATTAAGTCTCCAGAAAATTTCAGTGACAGCAAATTTTATTTCAAAATGAACCGAAGAAAATATGTAAAATAATTGGTGGTACTCGTGCGATTAAGTACAGGTCATCACATAAAACGTCTCTCTGTCAGGAAAAATTATTGTCATACCGAATATTAGATTCGTTCCGATTTCCTATCCTTTACATTTGTGTAACTAAGGCTAATTTGGCTAACAAAACACTGAAATAAAAAACGATTCTTTCTGAATTTTTAAAGGTAAAAATTGCTATCGTTTTCGTCGATCTCGACCATTAGAATTAGACAAGGTTAGAGAGAGTAATTATGAAAAATCCGGCTATTGAGTTGTCTAGCTCGAAAGCGAGTCGATATTGCAGGACCTGAATGGCGCGTATTCGATCAAAAGCTGTCTTCTGTTAATATCCTTTCTTTAGCGTCCCTTTACGATTTGGACTGTTTGTCTATTGTATATTCTTTCGAGAAGCAGTATTCGTGTTTAAGGGGTTTTATCTACCTGCGCTTTTCTGGTGATTTTTTCTTTGATGAGTAAGTAAAAAATATGCATTTGCAGAATTTCATCTACTTTAATAGATAGGCTGTAGATCCAATTTTTGATTTTTACAAACTAGCAACTAGCTTTTCAAAAAAAAAATGTTTCTTTGTGAAAAAATGTACTTTTCGGAGTTGCTTAGAATTGAAATTATTGTCAAAAATCTTATTCATGCCATCATTTCAGAAAAATATATCTAAGAAGCCCGTGTAAAAATTGCAAGTCGATCGATCTAGCTGTTTCAGAGAAATTTCACTCACCGACTCTGAAAACAGTGCTTTGATCAAAGAACGTTTAAAATTTTTCGGAGCTGATTACATTAAGTTAAAAAATTCTTACAAATACCCCATATCATCGAATCTATTTGCTGGTCAACTTCAATTATATATGTATGTAAAAAATTGGTTTATATTAACATCACACAAATTTTCATTCATAGCGGTCGCTCATTGGCAGGCAACAAAATTGCAAGAGAGTATGAAAATTCAAGCTTCTTCTCTTATAGTGGATGCATCTACAATATCTATCTCGGAAAAAAGAACTTAAGTGGGAAGAGAGGCTAAGTTAGAAGGCTTAACTAATGAAATAGCTCATTTGCCATCACTGTTCCTCTATAAATTGCCTAAAGAGATAATTATTATTATTCATTAAAGATTTCTCATTTTCGATATGACCCCAAGTAATATTATAAGAATTAATTGACAAATATTAAAGGCAAATCCAATGCCGATAAACACGTTATATGCGCTGTCATTTGGCAGTTTATTAGCTACACAAATATTTGAATACACACAGACATTCATAAATATATATACACACAAACATATTCATACAAGTGTAATCCCTTCAAGCTTGACGCAAATCAAACATATAATTTTCCAACCTTCGGCACCTGATAACATTTGACACTAATTGACCACACACGCTCGTGGTAACCGTAAAATATCCACCAACACACAAGCAAATATTTACATATACACACACATTTAAGTGGATTAAAGCATAACTCAATAAATCAAAAGACACAAGTTAAAATACTACCAAATCTACTACACTTTACATACTTGTATTAAATGCGCACACATATGTTTGTATAAATATATCACTTCAACCACATGAGTGTAAATATATGTACGAAAGAGCACACAAATTTACCCGTCCGGGTGACACCAAATATTATAAATGTGTGTTATTGTTGTTGCAGTTGGTAGCCAACCCGTCAAACTTCGTTCGATGTGACGCACGATTGAATTAATGTTTAGCTAAAGGCTCAGACGGAAGTGTGGACAGACAGCTAGCAAATACTGTTGACACGATATGGTGTGCCGACAACAGTACATATTAAATCAAGTCATCAAAATAAGTACGCTGGCATAGCTTAAAGCACGCGACTGTAACAGCAATACCAACCAAGAATAAAAATCATTATAATAACAATAGGCTCTGCCACACGAACTACACAGGCTGCCACAAATATAAACATTGATTAGGTGAATACGAGTAGACTGGCACAAACACTTTGAATTACAAACTTAGCTGATGGCTGTTGGTATAAGTATGCCTAGAACTAAATTGCGTTTAGCACAATTATGGTATAAATAACCCCGTTGCGAAATTCTTCGACAGCATTTTGGAACTTAGTGTGGCATTTTGCTTGAAAAAGTCTAGATTTCAAGGTAACTCCACACTTACCAAATCATGCTGAGAAAATAACTTAGCTTGATTAAATTTCAAAAACCCCTTTGCCTCAAGAAATTTCGAGTTAGAAGCGATGTCCTCGAAAAATTTCGGAGAATGTACCGTAGCTTTTTTTTCTGTACTTCAGTGAGAGTACGGTAAAACTTTTATCTAACAGCGATCAGCTCTTGGTAAGAATTTCCGGAAAAACTCCATTTAACACAAAATCACTATAAAAATGAATATAGTTCACTAAAAGCAAAAAAAAAAACACGCTTTTAAACCACATATAAACAGATAGAAATGTTGACCGAAAAATTTTTGTATTATTGTGAGAAAAGCGTGGGATGGTTTGTGCCAAATTTTTCGTATATCGAGCACATCACACTTTGATGTGATTACATTTCTCCGGACCTACTCAACCACCAATTTCTACCAAACTTATTCTATGTTAAATTGTGAAAATATATGTTATTGAACATCGATGAAATTGTTTGAAAATGGTTTAGAAGGGGTCAAAAAGGGGTTAA